TATAAATAATATATATATATATATATATATATATATATACCATGTTTATTGGAAAGTGTATATTTTATGTGGTAAGAAGTACACTCATTCATATCATTTTGAACTGATGTCAGCTTATATAATTTGAAAACTAATCTCACAATGACATGTTCAAAAACTCAGTTATAAAATTATTATTTTTATTGTAAAATTCAAAGTATACACTAAAATGATTCTGGAGGACTGAAAAAAATAGTATAAAAATGTCAGATAATTTTCAAGTGTTGTTTTTTTTACTATATGTTTAATAATAATTTTTTTTGAGGAAACAGTAGATCTTTCTGCTACTATTTTTATTTAAACTACAAACTTTAGTTTAACTAATGAGTTTAATTTTTCAAAAATCATAGGATCCAAAAAAGGATACTTTTTGTTGGGTTTGTCATCGAGATAAAGTTGTTGCCAACTGTCAGATCTGTCCTAGAGGATATCACATTCAGTGTGTACCACAACGAGAAATATCAGACAATTGGGTCTGCCCAGAATGTCAGACCATAAGGACTGCTGAAGACACTGACTCATGCTCTCCTGCACTAAAGCTTTTGACCATCCCGGAGTTCTGTGGTCTGCTAAAATACATAATGCAAAGGATAAAAAATGTTGCTGTATGTGATCAGACGTCCATTTGTTGGAGTCTTTTTCCTTTTGTACTTTTTCTTTTCAATGTATCTTAAAGCATGTACACTAAATGCATGTTGATAGGTGTTGCATAAGCTTCATATTATTTCTATGTATAGAACATACTATAAAGTTGATTTTTCTTCTCTCCTCCTTTTTTTTAATAAATGTGAAGATGTTGAGAATTTACTGTGAAGAAATTTGCATTGGTTTGGTTAAATTATGTCACTGTCGAGATGTATTACAATTAAAGCTGGGTGACTTGTGGAATTTGTTGTTTGGAAAGTTCTAAAAGTCAAGTTTTATTATCTACAGTGGCCAAAACATCGTATAAAACCCATTGATTGGCTTTGTGATTAACAACAAACAAGCATAATGGCAATATTTAGATTACTTGGATAGTTGGAATAATCAAAAATAATAATTAGAAATGGTAATGTCAATTAGTTGATTATTTTCAGGATGTTAATTAATTTAATTGTTTTGATTACTAATTAGTTGGAATAATGGAAAATGGTAATAATCAGAAACACTTGCTGATTATGTGACTTTAATTGATTTAATTGTAATGTCGATAAATCCATTATTTTATGTGACACTAATACATGTAACTGATGCTCATATGTAGTCTATAATATTGAGTTAATCACCCAGCTTTAGTTACAGTTGTTACATATTTTGGCAGTTTTTTTTGTGGATTCTCTGTAAATTTCATTGTTCCTTAACATCTTTCTGTAATAAAGGTAATTATTTTATGGTTATTTTGTACTTTATGGTGTATGATTTAAGTGTTTGTGAAATGAAACTGTATTTGCTAAAATTTATTCTAAAATTTTCAATTATTTTTAGATGCAGCCTTTCTTGCACCCAGTTTCACGTCAAGAATTTCCAGATTATTATCAGTATATTGTTCAGCCCATGGATTTAAGTGTGCTTGACAAGGTAAGTGTTATTAACCAAAAAACCACATATTGAAAATTTTAAGTTTTGAGCTTATACTTTTAATTCTTTTTACTTACAGTAGCAGAAGTGTGTGTGGGTACACATGTAACTGAAACATGGACAAGATTCCATCTGTTACATACACACACATGAAGTAGACTTGTAGAGATAATTTCCCTTAAATATTATTTTATTTTCTTGGTGATGTTTGAGCAAATGCTCTTTTATAAACCATGAATAAGCCTTCTCTTGGTGCCAAACTATATCAAGAACATTCTGAATGGAATACAATACACATGAAAGAAACATGAGATGAACTCTCACATCATGGGCTCGGGCGAACTGATTGCCCATGGGACCCCACTTTGTACTCTATACCACTAACTTTAAGCCTTTCAGCATGGAAAAGCCAAGACAAGATCAGCTACTTGAAGTTAGTCTTTCCATCACGGTATATTGAATAAAATTATATTTTTAAAGTTAGCTACTTATAAACCTAAGGTAGGGTTTGTAGTTCTCTTCAAGATTATTTGATTTCATTTTTTTTTTTAAAGGCAAAGATTGGGAGTTTCAAACTAAATGTGTACTCTTAGTAATGTTTTCTTTAAATAATATATGATAAAATTATACTTAATCTATTTTTTTATGTATTTCCTTTTTAAAGTAGCTTTGTTACAGCACAAAGGTAATTATTATGACGTTGTATAAAGGTAGATATTAACACATGACTAAATATAAAATATTAGAAGTATTTTCATTTTATTCTTTAATGAAGCCTTCCTTGCATGTAGAAGGTACTGAGAGGCAGTCTTCATTCTTCTTGTTTGTTTGTATTTTTCTGGATATTTTAATAATTTTTCATTGTCTTTTAAGCTGTAACAGAAATATTTGTTCATTTCAATATACATTTATATATTTGTAGTAGGCCTTGTTTGTTGTATAAAATTGTTAAAATACCTAAAACCCCATAACCACATAATTTTCCAAGTATTAAATAGATAGAAGAGACTGGTATGTTGAGTTAGAAAGAGTAAGATTTGTTAGTAGCTCTGTAATCTAATGAATTTTTTCTTAATATCTTTAGTTATGCACATTCTTTTGTTTTTTCCAGAAAGTGAAGGATAAATCATACAAATCTACTGAATCTTTTTTAGCTGATGCTAAATGGCTTGTACATAACAGTGTCATCTTCAATGGTTGTAAGTTCTTTTTTACTGACTTACAGATTTTGTCCTTGTGGGGACTATGTTTTTGTTATAATAGTAGCAAAGATCTTTTGTTGTTGAAATCAAAATATGAAGTTTTATGTTGTATAACTTTCATCTTAATATGAATAATATCTTCATTAAATGGAAAGAAAATTATTTTAATACAAAATAATTACAGTATTTACATAATGTTAGTACATTATACAATATTTCATGTAGAAAACATTGTTATGCCAAAGTTATTAAAGCATTTATGCATTTTTCTTATGCTGTTGGTTTGTTATGTTTATTTAGGATAAAAACTGCTGAACCTAATTTGTAACTCATGATTTTTGAAATTATTACAGCTTATCATCCTCTCACTGTTAATGCCAAGTCTGTTGTCAAACAAGTTAAAAAAGAAACAAGAGAAATAGAGATATGTCCTGATTGTTACAGCCATTCCTATTCTTTGAAAGATGATTGGTTTGTGGAACCCTGTGTAAGTTTCTTCCTACACTTTAAAAATTTCATAATTTATTTTAAAAAAGAAAAATTGCTCTCTTTTTCTTTCTTTTTTCAAAAATGATTTTCAATTCACAGAAGTTATTGATTTACTAATACTCAAGTGATGATTTGAACTCATTAAGATTATCAGTTTCCATTTCTGTTCCTGTGCTTCACATATTCAGACTTTTATTATCTAATTTTTGTCTTTTATGAGTTTGCTGTAAAATTTCTACAAAGAATGTTCTAGGCTATAAAGCCTAGAATATTAAGGTATAGAATAATAAGGTATAGCTAGTGTTTAGATCAATCAAAACAGTATTGTGGTTGTATCAATGTTTCGTGAAATGTAGGGAAAATTTTATTTTGGAAATTTTTTAAGGCTTATTGTGATGTACATCTAATAAAGTGTGTGAAAACTACATTATTTATAAAAATAAAAGTTATTAAACTTTATTTTTTAGAGTGATTTTTATATTTGAAAAAATTTGTTAACTAAAGGAATATTATTTGAATGTTGTCATACAACATCATTTTTTATTTAATTTTGTGAAATTGGGAATATTTAGGGGCCTAATCGGAATTAAGAATAGAGCCAGATTTTGGTTCCTGAATAAACCCTTGAATATAGCATGCAGTTTGGCAATGGTAATTTTCATTGAATTATATTATCGTACCACCTACTATTAATAGCACAAAGTTAACAGGTACAGTGGACTTTGTCACAGAGGTGTATTTAAGCATTGTAACTGATGTATACAGTGGAATATTGGCTTAGTTTTATGGTGTGGTATTTAATTGTTTTTAAGAATGGGTATTTAATTACCCATTTTAAATTAAAAAGCTTATGTAATAAAGTTGTTTAATTAAAAACTATTAACAAGTCAATTCATTGTTTTTGCATTAAAATATATGATATACTTAATTTCTGTTTTACGCAAATACATTTTGGCCAGCAACACTCCAGGAAGTGTCAGAGTAGTAATAAAAGATTTGGACTGTAAAATACTGTAAGAAAGACTACTTATAGTAAGTATTTTGAACATGTATTTTGAATATTTACTGTATTGGACTAATTATTATTATTGTTATTGTTTTTAGAGAATTTCCCACACACTAATATATGCCAAATTAAAAGGCTATCCTTTCTGGCCAGCAAAGGTGAGAAAATTCTTGAAACATTAATTGTATACATTGTGTGTGTGAGTACTGTATGTGCTGTAGTACTGTATTTAAATTATATTGATTTTCTTTTTTTAGTATGTTTTAGTGAGTAGTGTTTTAATGCCTGTTTAATGATGAGGAACCCAGTTTTAGAAAATAAAGTTTGGAGATAGCTTGAATGACTAATGAAAAACTATTACAATTTACAAATGTACAACATAAACTAAATATTTAAGCATTTTAAAAGCTGTAGATTTGGCTTTATAGTAAAGATATGGGAATTCTAACAATTATTTTACATTTTCAGTAGTAGGTTATATTTATTTTTCTGAAATAATACTGTAAAAAATAAAAGTATTAAAATCTAATCGGACCTCACAGTGATCATATAAAAGCTACTAAAGACTATATTCTGATAATAGTTCTTTTTGTTGTGTGTGTGTGTGTGTGTGTGTGTGAAACATATATATTAATAACAGGACTCAGTTGTTAAGCTGGGAAGTAAAAAGGTTTAAATCTTTAGCTAAAAATTTTTCTTAGCAAAACAAAATTTATTTTAGCTAAAAATAGTAACAATGGAAACATGTTTGAAATATTTAGTTTTATTTAACATGTTTAAATGGGAAACTACAATTTTTTAGGCATGAATTGCCCTTCTTTCTCTCGTTGTTAGCTAGTTATTCAAATCTTTATCTAACATGTGGATCTGAAAACAGAGGCTATAAACCCCTTTAGAGTTCTGATTAAGAAAATTTCAAAACCATTTACTTTCTGATATAATACATTTCATGAATTAACAATAAAATGTCATGCATGTTTTGATAATTATACAAAGGACTTACTTATTTTATATAAACCTGTTTTGTGTAAAACTATAACCACTTAAATATGAAAGTTTATATGAATTAAATATTTTAAAATTACACGTAACTGACTAAATGTTCTTGTTAAAACTGTGTTTTTAGACTAGTTTCTCTTACATTTTAATCAGTGAATGAGCACCTGTGAATGTTGACAGTTACCTAATGGACTGAGACTAGTAACTAAGTAACATTTAGTGTATACTTGCAGAAACCTGATGATCAAATATTTCCATCATAAAATCTTAATTTAGTCAAGATAAATGGAAAAAGACTGTCTCATTCAGCCAAACATTAAAAGCACATACTTATAAGCCATAGAAGTTTGGGAAATATTTGAAGGTAGCAGCAAAATGTTTATGATCATTTTGTTAATTTTACTATTGCTATGGTGTTTAGTTCAGGACATACATTGTATATTCGCAGGCTCTCTTTTTGTGTGGAGCATTTTCTTGCTAATTGCACTCCCCAAGATGTTGAAGTCATTGGATGTAACATCTTGGGGAGTGCAGTTAGCAAGTAAATTCTTTGCACAAAAGAGAGCATGTGCTTCCTGAACTAAAGGTCAATCAAACAGCATAACCTTTGCTTTTATAGCTATGGCACTTTATAATAAGATATTTTATGTTTTCAGTTGTGCTCTATTTTTAGAGTACATTCTTTCTTTATTACTTAGTTAATATTGATATTTCTTCACCGTTAGTTAAACATACTTGAAGAAATATGAACTTCACTATCACATATAGTACTAGAAAACTTTCTAGATAAAAAGGACTCTGCATATAGTTGCAATTAAGTAGTGTGCCCTAATTTCAAGTTGAATTTCCACGACAATGATTGGGTTGGTATGAGAAAAGTGGGAAAATTACCCATAATATATGAACATATAATGTAATTAATGATTTCTATGACACTAACACCCCAACTAAAAGTCTTAAACTTTGGAATACTGCTTTATCGCATATTAATCAAAGTACATGTGAATAATGCTGTATTAAACCACTCGGCCCTTTTCATTACCTTGAAGATTAATGAACTTGTCTCCCAAAATGGATGTGCGAAACTAATAGATTATAATTTAGCTAATAAGAGTTATTCTTTCAGATTTTGCAAAATAGTAAATGCTAGCTTAAACATTGACTTTGAAAAAAAAGGTAAATTTGTCATTGTAACTGTAAATAAAACCTGTAGCAAAAGCATGATAAATTGGTATATATTCTTTGGAAAAATCTAATAAACCCATTTTGGTCCTAGTAATATTGTGCTTTTATAAGTTTTTATACATCTATTATAATGTAAGTAATCGGGCAAACTACGCCGTTTTCTGGCCTGTATGACAAAATGTGTTACTTTATTATAATAAAGCAATTGTATAATTCGTTGTCAGATGAACAATAAACACACTTTGCAAACAAGAAATGGCATACGACACCTATAGCGAACAATTTTACACTGAAAAAGTTAGGCAGAAAAACTTATAAAAGCCTATATTTTTCTGGCAAATGAGCCTATAATAAAAAATACACATATATATATATATATATATTTTTTATTTTTCATGTTACAATCTTTTTTTTCATTATTTTCACCCTATATTTTGTAAAAATGGTTGGGGAGACCTGATTTTGACATGAATATTCAAAAATCTTTTTTTTTGTGTGTTTTTGTACACAACAACTCTGGAATAAATGTGAATATCTACAATTTTGTTCCAATTGTCCCCATTTTCCTGAAGTTGGTGTAAAAATATTCCATTTTTTTTCTGTTTAATTCAATAAGAAACACTTGAATATTACTCTAATGCTGACTTTTGGTCGTTGATCTTGCCAATCCCTATTTGTTAAGTGAAATGATTATTTTCTGTTTGAAGTTTAGCTACTGATATTTTTTATGTTATCAGTGCTGATATACAGATATTTTATAGAACAATTTTTGTTTTCTTTTTGTAAGACTCCTAAAATATTGGTTACTTGTAACAAAAACATATCTTAATACTAGAAATGAATGACCTTATAACACCAAAATGTTGTTTTTATTTAATTAGACACTCAATGTTTTGCTTCTTCAGAAGCATTCACTAAAACATAAACCAAAACAGACAGTACAAAGCTTCAAGTTATATGGTTTACCAAAGGAACATAAACTGGATATGCCACTAAGACTCATAATCTTAATATGTGGTTGTGCCACTGAAAGTCTGTATTGGCTTATGCATACACCTGACTTTAAACCACCATTATCTGTACAAATCCTCACCAAGTAGTCTCACAGACAGAAAATTGAAAAAAGTTCTTCTCACTGAACAACTACAACCACAGATGAATAGGGACAGAGGATGGTGCTTATAATTTTAATTATTTTATTTTTTAACCTATCTTTTTGTTATTTCACTGTGTAACGTTGACAGTACTTTTGTTTACTACAGGTAGCAGTTAATTATTTCAACAGTGCTTTTTTTTAAACAATAAAGTTTACTACATAATATGTCAAAAGCACACTTTACAAATGCATGTTATAGACTTGAATAGAATTTATTATTTAAACCATTTGAAGCTTTGTACTCTGTTTCAGTTTGTGCTTTAGTGAATGTTCCTGAAGAAGCTGTAAAGTAAAATGTTGAGTGTCTAATTAAATAAAAACAACATTTTGGTGTTAAAAAAATCCTTGCTGTATGAAAATATTTTTAATTTCTAAAATAACCATATACATGTAAAATATTTCATAGGATTAGGTTTGTTCACCTTTACATTAGTTGCATAAATGTATAATCTGCACTTTGTATCCTCAGCTTTGTATGGCTTTTACAGCAAGCACTCCTTCACTTAATTTTGTTTTTGAATTTTGCGGTTTTAATTTTAGTTAAAATCCACCAGAAACTAATGTTAATTCAAAATAGTTGTATATGCTGGGTAATGTATATAGGGTTACTAAAACATGTGCTTAATTGGTTGTTTATGGTTAAGCAGAATTTCATGAAATTAGGCATTCAGTAAAAATGGAAAGTGTATTTTTTAATGGTAAAACATTGGCATTACTGGCAGTGAAAAGGCTCTGTTGGAAATACCTCTGTGAAGCTTAAGATCAATGTAGACACATGCTCAACTAAATTTTGTTGTTGAAAAGTAGGTTTTTATTGATTGTAGAGTATTTAATGATTTGTGCTTGTAATATTCATTTAAGAATATGTAAAATTCATTTAAGTTTTTATAAAAAAAAAGTGTCCTAAGACAATTCATCCTATGGGGGGGGGATGGGGAGCATCAGTTTCTTGGGACAGGTAATTTTTTCTCATTTGTGTATTTCATATTTGTTCTGTTACCTTTGTTAGCCTCTTTCTATCCCAACAAATAGTGTAATAAATTCAATCTTTCATTTGAAGGATATAACTGATTCAAAAAATATAAATATAATAAATATATAATACAAATATATTTTCATTAGAGTTTGCAAGTCTTATCCATAAGTACACTTTTACAAACAGGGCCATTGTTTTGATTGTTGTTATCCAACATCGTCTTTAATTATATTTAATTCCTATACTTTGTAAATAATAAATGCACAACTGTGGTTTTGGAAAAGTCTTCTGTGAACAAATATTTAAAGTATTTCAAAGAGAAAAATTTTCAAATATGCAAACATATAGGACTTTAATAGAACAATAACACCTCATGTTGATATAGGTAGTGTTTATAACAGTTTGTGTTTCTCCTGTCTTAAGTTCCTTAAACCAAAAATTGTCTGTTTAAAAAACTTGGTATTATTATCTTTTATAACAATTTATGTATGTATGTATGTTTTGATAGAGATTCTTTTAGTGGGTATGTTATCAGTTTGTTTCTTTAGATTGCCACTGAACATTGGAGTTTCAGTAATTATTAAATTTTTGTATATTTTTGAAGAAATGTATTTAGCATGAGATTGTTGTGAGAGACAAAACGATTTTTCTTTACAGGCTGTAAGAGTACTTAATGACTTTATAGATGCTCGGTTCTTTGGTGATCATGACAGGTAAAAAAATTTTTCAAAGCAATCAGCTATGTTTATATTAGTAACAGTTTTTATTATTAGTATTCTGTCAGTTCTTTCATTTTGATTTTTATGTGCTGTGAACTCAGAAAATTATTTTGAGTAAATCTTTAATATGGAAAGTGCAGATTTATTAAAAATGTAAAAATACATATAATAATTTGTAGCTTATAAAATGTCTCAAATTGTTAGAAGTATGTTTATTAACTAATAAAGGATTACATTTAAAACTTATTTTTGTTCACAGAAACTGGTAGATTTATAAGAAAAATATTGATGTAATAACCTATAGTATTCCAGCACATTGTTTGCTTTACAGTAGTGTTGTGAACATTTAAGAATTGGTTTTAGATTCCATAGTAATTCATGTAAAATATACAATAAAACATTGGTAACAAAGGGGATAATAATAGAATGCAAGCTTTGATAGGCAAAACAATACTTAAGGTGTATCTTGAGAACTTTACATTATTTGCTTTTATAGTAAGCATTTATAACAAAACTTTGGTGTTTACAATAAATAGTAAAGGATTCACAGAAAAAAAAGAGATTTTGAAAGGAAATTAAATAATTCCACAAGATATTAGAATATGTTAATTTTGAATCTCTTTTTGTTTTGTATTTTGCAAAAATAGTGATAGAATGAAAAGGAAGTATTTCTGTATTTAAGATAAGCTGCTGCATATAATTTTAGTATTAGATAACATATATATATATATAATATGTTCTTTAAATATAATATACAGAGCATGGATTCCTGTCCAGAAGTGCTATCTTCTCTCTAAAAATCCTCCATTGCCTATCAAAAAGAAACATTCTGGCTATGAACATTCAATGGAAGAACTGAAATCACATCTGAGCCGACTTCAAAAGAAATCTATCCCTTTTCGGTATGCACCAGTAAACACAGTGGTAGATCCAAAAAAAGTTGTGTCACTTTTAAAGGTATGTTATGGAATAGAAGTTTTGAGTGATTTGATCAGATTTCAAACTTTTATTACATCATACTTAAATCTCGTGATGTTTGTTCTTTTATTATAAAACAAAAATTACAAATGAAATTTAACATTTTAACCTGATAATGATTACGTGCTTCAGACTTAAGCACACTAAGTATCTCTCATTAAACTTCTTTCCAATAATAAAAACATTGATAAAATTGTTTAAAACTTGACAAGAACTTTCATAAAAGTATGTAGTTTAAGAAAAATAAAATATTTAATTTTGATTTTTTGTACTCTTTCTACAAAAAAGTCATTATTTAATGTAGTTATTTGCACTCTGTCTCTGAATAGTTCACCTGCAAGGTGATTGTCATGTTAAGTATAAAAATACTATTTTTATCTTACAATTTTCACATTTCACTTTCAAAATCTCTAGGATCTCTTAAATGAATATCAAATGTTTTATAAGGTAAATGTTTATGTTTTATTTGCTTTTTTCTCTACAACATCACCAACTCTGGTTATTATCATCAAGGTACAATGCAATGAAATGTTGAAAATTAAGAAATGGAAATATATATACATTCCTTTTATCTCCTAATTGAATAATCGTAAAATAGCTTCTTTAGTTCATATGTGCAATTTCACGTCTTTAAATTTTCACTTATAGTTTATTTTTTATTTTTCTTTATCCTTGATTATTCATGTCAACACATCAACAGGTGCCTACAGGCAATATAACTAACATTGGCAGAGACAGTTTAGCCCCAACAAAATGGTGGTTGCACTCGCTAACTTTACAAATACCTGTTGATCGAGGCAATACATAGAATAAATTTTAAAAATCATTAGACCTTTTAAATGTGTTTTAAAACACAAATAATATATAATTAACTAAATAAATATAAAAGTAAAACCTAAATGCAATTTAACTGTCTATCAAACTAATATGTATAAGGAAAAAAATATAAGTGCTAGGGATCCTGCTCTCAACAGTGGACTTTATTTTGCCTCATTTCTAAATGGATATATATGTCTATGTATACAGCTAAATTGGCAACATTCTAACAGGAAATCTGCTCTTTCTGTTGGTTATAAGCATGCCATTCAACTTAAAAACTGTCAATTAGCAACACACTTTGGAAGTGGGCATGGCTTATCTTGAACTCAAAGAATTTTTACAATGTTTTCCTCAGATACAAGTTCTAGGAATTTGACTCGAGTTACTCATAAATAGGCTATATTTGTGTCCCTTGAATATCTGCAAGAAAGTATCTATATTACACACACTTGTTTCTTGTATATCAGCTCTAAAGTTCAGGTATTTGAATCATGAGGTTGTCATGTGACAATGAACCAAAGTATTTAATTATTGTTTTACAGAATTTTTATTAAATAAAGGAATAAAAACTGAGATAATATAAAACTGAATTATAACATACTTGATAAAAATAATTTCATTAAAATATATTAATTGTAAAGTGGTTTAACCTTTTCCTGACAGGCTCAGTATAAAATACACGAGCTCATATACACATTTGCACACGTTAAGTATTTATGCTATAATTTTTAATGCAGTATGTGTATCTTTACAAAATTTGGAAGACTTTTAGTAATGATTACAAGTCTTTTGTACACAAAAAATCAGATTTTTAAATGAAGTATTTTTACTAAGGACTTGTTTGTAAACATATAGAGTCTGTTTCATTACTAGTCCTGGTGAAAAGTGATTTTCATGTTATGATTAAAAAACTATTCTTTGTCCCCAAAATCTCAAATATTATTTGTTTAATCTCTAAAACCTCCTAAATACATTTCAATGTTTGTTTTCAGTAAAACTTTATATTCTGCCTGTTGTTTTCTGTACCTTAACTAAAGGGGTCTGTCAATTTAACCGACCTCACAACCACCATAAAGAATTAGGAAATAGATATAAATTATGCTTTTTTCATTCTAAATTGACAACAAATTATAAACACATATGTTTAGACTAAATAGCACAAATCTCATGAAATTATACATTTCTACATATTTATTATTTTTGTTATATTGACCTTCCAATTATGCCTGGCTAACATTACATAAGTTACAATGATGTGGCGCAAGTGCACCCATGTTACCATATCAGAGAATATAAAACTGTCCTTTACAAAGTGACCTGTCTTGGCTGTGTTTTATAGTATTTTGTAAAATACAGTCATATTTCAGTTATATACATTATTACTATTTACAAATAAGTTATTAAAGTTATTTTTCTTAAAACATAGAACAGTAAATAAAGAAGTATAGCAAACAATTATATCTTCTAGTTACAAACTTTGTACTCGTTTGCTGCTTGTTTTAGGTTGCTAAGCCTTGCCAAATTTGGCATATAGAGGATGTGAAACAAAATAATTTTATTTAGGTTATATATATACATTTGAAATAACGAAAAATCATAAATTACTATATCAATACCATAGAATTTCACTATACTTTTTCAAACTTAGTAACTAAGCTGTATTTGGGTCTAAAGAAATATGAAATTTTGAGCTCACTAAAGTGTCAACTTGTCCTCTTTGAATCCAGAGTGAAAAGAAAGGATTTTTCATGCAAATAATTTGCAGAGACTAAGAAAACCACTAGGGGGAAATTCTGAGATTTCAATTGGTTATACACATTTCATTGTGCAATGTAGGCAGGTATCTTCAAAAATTGGAGAGGTGGGTGGGGCCATCTTGGTTGATTAAAGAAACATATTAACATCTCAGAAAATAGAAAAGATAGGAGGTTCTTATTTTACATTCTAGCTTGTAAATATCAGTAATTTGAGTGTCTAATTCATACAAAACTATAAACTTTGTATTTGGACATCACAAACATCTGATTTTAACCAATGCTGCATTCAACATACAAAAATCGATATTTCGGATTTATTTTTTGATAATTACATTTAAATTAAGAAATTAACTAATGTATAATACCAAAATTTGAATTATAATCTACAGTTTGATACTAAACTTACTGACATAAATTCATAAAATAGTAGTTCAGTGACATTTTGCATGCAAGTCAACAAACGTAATGATATGGCTTTTGACCTGTTATGATAGGGTTAATAAAATTTTCAATGTAACTCAATAACATGCACAGAAAGGGTTTTAAAATTGGTGTCATCATTATAGAGTTAAGGGCTGTGTTGTGTACATTTACCATATACTGTAAAAGCTTTATTATCTGGTGTCTGCTGAATCTAGGCAGTCCCGGGTAGGAGAGCTTTCTAGTTATGAAAGCACTTCCCTTATGATATTTTACAGGAAAAATCTTGATACCTTGTTAATGATCTAAAGTACAGTATTTATACATCATCTGTAACAATAAGTTTTAAACAATGATAAATGTTCCAAAAAAAAACATACACTGCATAAAATATTTTATTTTTGGCTTAAATTAGAAGTCATATTTTTGTGATGTATAAAATATTTACAGATAAGGTAAGCACAGTGTGAATCACAATACAAGTGATTAACAACTGAAGCTTGCCAGCAGGAATGGTCATAAAAGAAACCATAGCAGCTCCACTAAGCAGCAGCATTGATTAAACCTCTCGCCATAGGCATCTTTTACTGTGCATGTCATGAGGTTTTTAATGAGTTACATTCAAATTTTAATTAAAGTACTTTTTTGTTCATGCTATACCAATTAGTATAGCATAAAATCATAGCTAATAATCTATATTTTAATAGTTTTAGGTTCTTAATTTTATAAGGCAATATTTCAAAAAATTCTGAATTTTCTCTAATGTGAGATATGTGACATTTTTTCTCTAGGCATCCACCCTTCTCAAGTTATTTGCCAACCCACTAAGAAGTACGAAATTTAATGAAAATTACTCAGTATAACGTTGTCATTAACCAGGCAAAGCACAATTTTCATAGTCTTCAATCTTGTTTGGTTACAGAGCATTCAAATAGAAAATGAGACCCCCCTTGCCAAACCCATTTGTCACATCCTCTCTCTCAGGATTTGTCAATAGTTCTGTCTTATGTTTAATACTATATTATTTATAACAGATAGAAAGCCAAAGTTTTAATCTATCAATTGACGTATTATATTACGTTGTTTTCTCTACAGAGAACTGTATTTTGCTGCCAGTTCAAACTTCATTCCCATGGGAAATGCATTGACTAGCTTAGATGAATTTGTAATGACTATTGTCACATAGTTAAAAAGCCAGAAAAATAGTGATAGTTATGGAACATTGTCTGCTTTTGGCATGTTATTATTCTGTGTTCTATGGTGCATTATTTAATTAATAAAAATTATTTAGTTCTCTATGACCATTATTATAAAAATGTAGGCTTAAGTGTCATCAAAAGCAAAAAAAAAAAGAAAAGGGGTCCAGATAAGTATTTTATTTTTTGTTTTTCATGTGTATTCTTCATGTAAAGTGTAAAAATAGGAAACTCCCTAAATTAGTTAAGGCTAGATTACGTAAAATAAATAATAATAATATAATAAAAAATTTCATGAGGCATGCATGAGAGCAGCTTGGAGTACCTCATAGGTAACATAATTCGATAGCAAAACATGAGATGTACATTACCCAATGGATTTAGAACTTATAATGCCACGAATGGTAGTTAGACACAGTTGAAAGGGCAATAAAACAGTAAAATGTATGTATAAACAGATGTATACTGTTACGAGTTTAAAGCTACTGGATAAACAAATGTAGTTTCATGAAAG